TTCTGGGAGTCGAAGTCCACTCATCTTAAAGTGGCCAAGTTTGGACAACACTGCTTTAAAGACACTGTGGTCCCTCCCCTTCTTCTGCTTCACCATTGTACGCGGTTGTCATTTCTTTCTTTTCTTCCCTAACAGATATGGCTGTTCAGAATTTTGTAGGAGATGCATTTAGAGGAGCAACCTGGGTTGCCTTACACAATGGCGGTGGTGTTGGCTGGTAAGGAGATTTTGCCTCGAAAGGGGAAAGAGATGACGACCAATGAGTGATGGAAGCTGTAGGCAGATAGAAAAATATATGGTGCTGCAGCTATTCATTGTAGCAAAATGAGGTTTTGCTGAGGAAATCTGATATAGTTTACTTCCCCAAATGTGTTTTCTTTTTCAGCAGTATTGAATTTCAACTCCCATCATCCCCAACCAGTAGGTGAAGGCAGACTATATACCTCCTTTTCCAGTGCTGACTGTATTTCTTTGACTGGGTTTTCTGCAGAACAACTGATGATTACATTTTTCTTATTGGTTTATTTACCAAATTTATCTTAGATCTTCATTGTTTTTTAGGAAACCCAAAAGCTCTCTTAAGCATACTGGGTTTAGAGTGGAAAGAAAAGCTAAAATGTCATAATGAATAACTTGTAAATACTGCACAATCATTCAGCATGAAAGGTATACATGTCCACATATCCTAGGACTTGAACTACCTCAGTTTACTATGTTTACCTGTGAAATGATTGTTGTAGCATCTGCATTCAATGGATGGTTTCCTTCATCACTGATTATGTTTCAACTATATCCAATTTTTTGAAATGATAAATATTAAAACAGCATTCACTTCCAGTTCTGTATTCTTGCATCAGCCTTCAAAGTATCAGTGAATGAGATGTGCATTTAGACTTCCCCCAAGCAACATTTACATCTGTGACCTTCGGGCCTCAATATAACATCCCTGTATGCTAAAGGCAGCAGGGTTTGCTGACATAAAACAGATCAGGTGCGCAACCATCTTTTTCTTCACTTCTGCCCCAAATTAGTTCTAATGTGTTTTTTAAAGAGCAGCAGAGGAAGAACTTGCTCAAACTTTTGGCCATTCTGAGCTCCTCACATCTGTCACTTAGCAGCAGTGGTACCACCAGGGGAACTCCAAGTAGAAATCTGAGGCCCTACTGAGTGGAGTAAGCAGGAGGCCTCCAAAAATTAAAAAAGCAGCCTATGTTTTGAAGGACAGGATAGTAGTAATATACATTAAAAAGCATGTCTGCTTCCTCCCCAGTGAATCCATTAAGTCCAAGGACTACAAGGATCTGGCTGGATTATTGCTTCAAGGCAGGGATAGACAATTTGTAAAAGCCATGACTCAATCCCCTGTCTTGCTGCAGAGCTGCAGGAGACCTTCCAATGACTTGTTGATGCCACTAGAAGTGACAGGGCCAAACAAATGTGGGCTGTTTTTTGGAGACTTAGGGAAGTTTAATGGTAGAATTGGGAGGGGGAGGCTCCAAGAAGCAAACACTCCCATTCCCACTCTTAAAAATCATGCAGCTCCCTCAAAGAGTATTCGCTAAACTCTAATGGCACAATTTTGTCTAATTCTTTCACAATATTTTCAGAGCAATTGTGGGGGAATAGGAATGGTTGACTTCCCAACAGTCTTCTGTTCTCATTCCAAGCCTTATGTTTGAAGGGAAGTTGGAAATACTCTACAGCTGGAAACTGGGCAGTTTCTTGCTGAATTTCAATGAGATGATCTTTAGGTGCTTGGGACTATATGCAGCCCATGGCCCCTGAGTTGCTTTAGGGAACAAATGTGTTACAGTACTTCCACAGGGTTCTTCAACTCCCTGGGCTATTTTGATTCCATTTGGGCTACTCATAGGGAGCTGACTTCCTGGGTTAAAAGGGAATTTTATGAGGATGCAGTGGGATGCCTTTAGGAAGACACTGCTATAAACGGTATCAAACCTTTGACTATCTGGCTCAGTATTTGACACATTAGCTCTCGCCAACCCAATGTCCTTCAGATGTTTTGGACTAGAATTCCCATTGTACTTGATTATTGGCCATGTTGGTTGGAACCCATGCAGTCCAAAACATACAGAAGTAGTGGTTGCAGTAGACTTGTACTTTTACTTTTATATAGCCCAGTAACAAACAGGACTTCTCTGGGTAATGCACAATTAATTTAAAATATTATTAAAAATAAAAGTGTATAAAATTAGACAGAAGGAAGGAAGCAAGCAAGCAAGCTACCTTCCCATCCTATATAGAGGACAACACAACAGATATAGCATATTTATAGCAGTTATTCTAAAAACAGGTGCCACCACTGAAAAGATACGGCATATTTTGAATAGAGGTATGTACTCTCCCATTGATGCTACTTGTACTTAGAGATGCAATAAATATATTGAAAAACAGCTGAGCTTTATTCATCTGTGTTCTGAATAATATCGCAACACTACTCAGCTGTGTGCTGTGACACAATTATGCTGTGAATTACTTTAGGTTTCAGTACTAACATCTTATGGATAGGAAATGCACCTGGTGATATGGCCCATGTATTGTGCTTAGGGAAGATGCTACCAGCTAGAATGAGAAGGGGGAAACTGAATGGTGTTGACCGTGTTTTTTGTAATGTATAGTTTTGACTCTCATTAACAGATCAGGGAGTATGTTTTACTTGTTCAATATAGGACTTAAAACATGCCAACATGAATGTTTGTCATGTGTTTCATTTATTGCTCTGTACTAAATAGGATGAGTAGAAAACACTAGGAATCTTGCTTCACATTCCCACTGGAACTATCTAAAATGTACGTAAGTGGGAGTCCAGATGATCCGGCTTGTGCAGATCAGATAGAATTGAAACATCTAGCCTAGTCTTTACCATTTCTCCAACATGTACAGGTTTTTAATTTTTGATAGTTTAGTTGTGATTATTGTGTTTGTGATATAATGAGAGTTTGAACATTCCATAAAATGGTCAATATGGTTAACTGCATGGATTTATCACCAAGAGTTTTCTGGGCTTGTTTTATGTTTAGAGGCTTAAAAATGGAATTTTGTGTTTTTCTTTATTAGGTTGATCACATAGAGGCACGCATTATAATTTTAGTTGGACCATATATGAAATGACCTTAGGGTTGGTCAATATCACAGAAGCTTAGTTTTGAAAGCCTCTTTATTAGGAGGAGGCCAAAGTGATTTGTACCAACCAAAAGACAGAGACAATTTATGGATTGAAGTACACAGTCAACAGAAGGATTGCTTGAGGGGCTTGGAGTTCTTTGATCACCTTGGGGAGAGGCGTCTGGAAATTATTGGAGTAGTTTAGGTCAACATACCACATGTTTCTTTAATTATTTGAATATATGACCAAGTGCTAATGAGGACTCAGTGCTCTTCCATAAAAATGAAAAAAAAAAGTTTGGAAAGTTCAAGTAAACAAACATGACATTACAATTTAATTAATTAGCATATTTTGGGTGACCCTACTGGGACAACTCTTGATTTCACTTGACTTTCGGTTGGTATTGTAATACATGTTAGAATTCTAAATTTTAATTCAGTACAGGAATCCTAAAACAGGTTTTGCCCAGGCATCAAATAGAGAAACTACGTCTATGAAATAATAATGATTGATGACATGTTTAGTTAGAACAATGTCTGAAAATCTAGCTCCTATGAGACCAGTTTGGGAGTACTGATTTAGTTCATAAAAGAATATTCTTAAAAACAATGCTTGGATCTCAGTGAGCTGCAGCATTATTTTCATCAATTTTAAATTCTTCCAGAAATGTAGCCATTGTGATTTATTGCAGCAGAAACAAAAAATTTCTGATGAAACAGATCCAGATCTAAAGCTTACATCAAAATCGATTACAGCGCAAGACAATGCAATTAACCCAATCAGCCTCTAAGACCGTCGGATTTCCTTGGTGGTGGTTCTGGCAGCAGGCAGTCACACTAATAGGGTCAAAAGTAATCATTTGGGGTATTCAGAATCCCCATCCACTTTATCTAAAAAGCGCCTTTGTGTCTCTTGCCTTATGCCAGAAGAGTTCTGGCAAGGTTTCATCTCATCAAGCGTTCCTTACCCTGGGCCAGATAGGAAGCAATAGGCATGGCATAGCCACTGTAGTCAATCAGTGCTCGGGTGGTTTGTTCTGTTGTGCTCTGCCAGGTGTTGGCAGGGAATTCTGTAACAGAGAGGCTTGCGTTTTCAGTTATTCTTTTTCCCCAGTGTCTTTTCTTTTATGATTAGGTAGGTAATATGGGCCAATCACCTGGTCTTACCACAATACTGCTACCTAGGTAGTGTTCATTTATTCCTGTGCAAGACAGGCTCTGTCTTGGGCTAAATCTGTTTTTTTGTTTTTTGTTTTTGGTGTTTTACACACATGTCCACTTAAATGTGCAAGGATAACAATCCCATTGTATTGTTTTGTGATTTAAAGATGTAAACTAGTAAGTGTACTACAGCATATCCGGGCTGTGAAAACCAGACAATCACTACTCTGTAGCAAAGTATGTTTTCTGTACATTTGCAGCCCTCCTGGATTTTTACAGCCCGGCTATACTATGATTATTCTGGAAGCCCTAATTCCTATATAGCAGGGGTGGGCAAAGTAAGGCCCCTGAGCCACATCAGCCCCCATTTGGGTATGTGTGGCCTTAATCTGAACAATTGTCACAAATTGGGAGCATGCTTAAAGGGAAGAAACGCACAAAAATTAAGCATATATTATTCTAAATTGATTTATCTTAGGAGGAAAAAAGGCCCACCCCAAAACTTTCCCTAAAAATCCAGGAATATTAAAAAAAAATCCTCTTGCTTTTGCCCACATGCATGACAAGGCCCCACCTGTTTTGCACCACCTTTTAGGAATGAGAAGAAATTTGTTTCCTTCACTATCTCTATTTTATTTATGTTTTAAAAAGCATTTTCTCCTGATTTAGTAAAGCAGAAGCAAGAGAGTTTATTTTGACTGACGTGAGTTGCAACAACTAATTTGACATCACCACAATGGAATTCCAAACGGCTGTGCAATAAACTTAAATAAGTTTGTCTTAAATGGCCTGGCCTTTAAGACAACAGCTACTTAATCTCAGACATGTTGGCATTTTCATTATTTGTCTGAATAAGTACATTTTAGATGGCCCCGTCCTCAGGGGAACTGCAGCAGGCCGGCTCAACAACCCTTGGCATTCATGCTAAGTTAAAAATTGATCTTGTAGACTATATTTTGTGGGAAAATAATAAAATGGTTGTCTCCTTATCCCATATTAAGATTCTCATTGCCTGTCATGTACCTTAAGCAATTTTCAACAATATAGTTACCTAATTTTAGAACTGAAAGTCTCCCTAAAGATCATCATCTATGTGTTTTGTTACCCACCCAGAAGGAGAAAGAGAGGAATAGATCTGGTCAAACTCCTACTCTGTGGGAGAATCTTGCAATACTAGCATTCCTGACAGATGACTCAACAGCACACTTACAGTAATTACACCTAATTATATCCCTCTGATACACATAATGGTAGTTACGATTTTTTAGAACAATAATTCTCCTTTTCCATAGGTTTGGGGCAATTTAAAAATGAATAGCCTATAATGGATCTAGAGGCCTACATGCTAGCTGGTGACTTAAGTATTCCATAACTAAAGTCACCACTTCTTCCAATGAGAGTTGGGATTCAGGGGAAGAATGAATTAGAGGTTTTGTTTGACTGGTCCTAAAACGTAGACCCTCTGCCCAGTCACCCTGGGAAAACTACATCCTGTAATGTAAATTTGGCAGAAAAAATATGGAGTGGCCATGTCAGGTTATGTGATTTTTTTTTTCTAGTATTACTTTAAATCAGTTGTATAACCTTATTTTGTCCCCAATCTTTGTCCTTCTATCTCTCTATTTTCCCACATTAATGACTGCTAGTTTCAGTATGCAGATCTTCGCCTTGATCCTGCTCTCCTGTTTCCTCAAGTCTTTCTTTTGTAGTCCTCATTAAAATAAAACTCTTTTATTCTTTCTTACTCTAGTGTTGTGTTTCCTATGACTGTTCATTCCAGTACCAGTTAAACCTAATTTGTTGTTGTTGTTCAGTCATTAAGTCGTGTCCAATTCTTTGTAACCCCATGAACCATATCGCACTAGGCCTTCCTGTCTTTCACTGCCTCCCTGAGTTTGCTCAGTTTCATGCTCATTGCTTCAGTGATGCTATCTAACCATCTCATCCTCTGCT